ATTTTTCTGATTTAAAATAACCAATAGAGGGGTTCTTTTAGGACTTTGCTCAGTGTTCATTATATCAAGGCAGCATTAAAAAATACATAAATAACATATAAAAATAAAGCTTTTTTCCCCTTGAAAAACGACAAAAACTTAAGCTTCAAGGGAAATTTTTGGCTTTTTGCTTGGAAGACATTTCCTTGTCGTAATCTCACACCATAAGATTTTATGTCATTGATCACAGCAATGAGTAAGTACAACGTTGGTGAGTAGTTGAGCTAAGTATGCACAGCAAGGAAAATAAGTAAAGTAAGATCTATATCTTAATGAAGGTAGCTATGTCTTAGTAATGAATAGGTTTACAACTAAAACAAGCTACACCAGGCTAGGCTACACTCAAGAGAAGCTTATCAAGGTTGGTTCATTATATTTCAAATGACCTTAACTTAAGGTTGAGCTGAAGCTCTTGGACTTGATGCTTGGCTTTGTCAATTTTTGAGGGAGCTCAAACCAAAGCAGAACAAGCACAATGAACTTCATAAGCGATTTGACTTCAGGAAGTCTTAGTTCCAATGGAGCCCAACTCTTTGGGGTTGTTCAGTGTCTAACCTTTTGCTGGTGAAAACTAGGTATTTTTTATTTTCTCCTTCTGGTTTCAGTAAGCGCTTAAGTTGACACTTGCCATGAAGAAGTTCAACTAATGGGATAATGGCCCAAGAAAACTATTTTATCTCAAAGCATATAGTTTCTTAGTAGGTCATCGCCTTTCAATAGTTGTCATAGAGACCTCATTTCTTGAGCATATATTGCTGCCTTGAGATCGAACATCAGAATCAAACCAGCTCTGAATTGCTAATGTAGGTTGCTTTGGCTGTGGTAGATCTAATTCATTGCTAAGCATGAGAAGCACAGCTGACATGCTTGGCCTATTTGCAACATGATCCTGAATACAAAGAAGGCCAATGTGTATGCACCTCATTACTTCAGACTAGGGATAAGAGTTAGCTAGTGACTGATCAATCAAGTCCAATGTCTTGCTCTCACTCCAGAGTAGCCATGCCTGAAATTTTCAGTATATGAAGATGTTAGGATAGTAGGTGAAGTTGTTTGTATGCAAGGGGTGGTAGGATTAGTGGACTTACATAGCCAAGGAGGTTTAAATAGCACTTTCCATCATAATGTAACCTGGTGTTTCTCATGCCACTAACAATTTCTAGTAGCAAAACTCCAAAGTTAAACACGTTCGACTTTTCTGAAAATAGTCCTCCAATTGCATATTCAGGAGACATGTAACCACTGGTTATTGATTATTAATCATTAAATTTACAATAAGTTATTTTAAATCGTGTAATCAAACATGAAAATTCACAGAAAGGGGAAGAAGAAAGTGGGAGTGACATGCCCTGAAAGCTATATATTCTACAATGGCATATGTTTATCAAGCCACTTTATGTTCCCAGCATAGTGACACAAGTAGTAAAATTGAAATGTGGCTTGATAAGCATGGCAAATTAACAATTTTCAAATTCAAGGAATTAAGAAAAGCCCAATGTTCATCTAAATCTTATTTGGATAGGGTGGTTTGGATAGAAAAAAGAGAAGTTTTTCTTAGTTGTTGCTCATTTAGTTAGATTCTATAAACAAATAATGTATAGCAAGAAAGAGAAAGAAGACTCAAATCTCTTAGGGCATCTATTTTCAATCTCTCCAAAATCTGAGAGATTGTTAAAAAACTTAACAGAGCATAAACACCTACACTAATGTCCAACTAAAACATAAAGAAGAAATAGTGATTGCCATGTTCTACTTTTTCTCTTCATAACTTTCTAATTACATAACAAAAGGGAGAAACATTTTTATTTTTCCCAGTTGGAAGAGAAGAAAAAATTTGTTTTATCTCTTGGTTCCAAACAGTGTTAAATTCTAAAGCAAGAATACTCTAGATATGCTGGAGCGAGATAGATTGAGTCCTCTTTTGCATCTCTCAATTTTTTCCCTCTACATTAAATGTATAAAATTTGAACTTTTGGAAAGAGATTAGGGCAACAGGATTTCTTTATTTTTGCCACAGAATGGAAGGGATGTATTGAAAAGACTGGGGCATGCCAAGATTAAGACTTGGTCTTCATGTAAATCTTGTTCAATATTATGGACAAAGTGTTTGCGAGTGTTGTGAAAAGCATGTTCCCTAGTGGCAACTGCTTCCCCTGTTTTGTGCATTTAGTTTATTCCCTATTTGCTCTGTTTAGTTTTCCTTAAACCTATGGCTTTATTTACATAAACTTTTTACTTGCCACATATCCAACCCGCCACCCACCCACCCCCACCAAAAAAAACAAAAAAAAAACAGAAACAAAACGAGGAGGATGCTGATTCTAAATTCACATCCATCCCACCACAATAGTAAATGCACATGCATCAGAACCAATAAAGAAACTTGGTGGCAAGGCGGAGAAGAATTAATGGAAGAAAAAAGAAAAGTACTTACAAAGTTCCTATAACCCTGTGAGTGTTAGCAAATTCTTGTGTCACTCGGAAAGTTCTTGCCAATCCAAAATCTGAAATTTTTTGGTTCATATCGACATCCAATAAAATATTACTGGCCTTCAAATCTCTGTGAATTACCCTTAAACATGAATCTTGATGCAGATAAAGAAGTCCTCTAGCAATACCTTGAATAATGCTGAAGTGCTGAGCCCAACCAAGTTGTGCACTTCACTTTGAGTCTACCCAAAGGCATGGTAGTCAAAAAAGTAGTCGAAAGATACAAGAAGTTATTTAGCTAAAAAAATTCTTGAAGCATCTATGTAATGCTAATGATAGTAGGAGTCCTATATTAATTTACTGTGATAATTAAGTTATGTTAGCTTATCTAAAGGATTCAAAATACCACAAGAAATCTAAACATATTGATATTTGTTATCAGTATGTAAGAGTTATAATTGCTAAAAAAAAAAGTAAAATTACAATATATCTCCACTAATCAAATACTAGTTGATCCCTTCACTAAGCTATTGGCTTGTAAAATATATGAAAGTCATATTAGATCTGGGCTTATGAAGAATATGATATACTTGTGAACATATTGTACAAATTTCTATTTGTGAATAAGATTTCATTTAGATATGCTATAATTCTTAAAGCACACACCTATATTTGATTAACTAAGTTCATGAGTACATAAAAATGTATGTCAACAAGTTTTGAGCTAGACCCTCTAACATGGACAATCAACTCTAATACTAAATGTATGAAAAGATTAGATGATTTTGAGAAATATATAGTAAGTCTATTTATTAAATCAAAACAAAACCATCACCTTGATAAATGAGAGAGAGTCAAGATGAGATCATTTTAGCTATAATGATCAAAATAAATCTTTATATGATACATTTACTTAACCTATTATAGAAGCCAAATATGAGTTCTTGATTAAATTAGAATATGAGAATGAACTTAGGTTGAACACTAAGGTGCTTTTGAACTTAAATTTGAATGATATTGAAATTTATAAATAATACTGACATGCGCTCTTTTAAAGAGAAAACAAAATCGCAACATGTGATTCATACCACATGTGCCAAAATGATAAAAAAAAAAAAAGATTAGTAGGAGAATCGATTCCTGCTTCTCTACTTTGTGACCCTTGACCTTATTAAATCTCATTTTATACCCTTATGGACTTTTGGCAGTAATCTAAGATGCCAATTTAGTGTTATTAATTTAGCATGTTATCTACAACCATGACTCATTCGGTTTAAAAGGATACGTCTTAGAAAGTAGATAATTAAGGTTAAAGGCTACTTGTCGAAAAGGAGGACAATTCTTATCAATATCATACATGTATTCACCAGTCGACCAATTGTGTAGTCTATTTAGTATGGATGGCATAATTGTGATTGCATTGTACTGAGAGTTGGCTAAGCATGCTCTTCCATTGAGGGATCAGAGATGCTTGAATTGATGCAATTAAAAATTAGTCTAGGGTATAACAAAATACTCTCTCTCTCTCTCTCTCTATATATATATATATATATATTGTAATGAATAGTTATGTACTCCTAACCAATATATAATAGAATACTCGAGTGTATTTGCTGGTTGTACAAGTTAGTTGTCTCACTATGTGAATTAAGATGTGTTAAGATTATTACAACAAGGGCCTTTGTTGATCACATCATGATGCAAATAGGAGATGTTAGAAAGATGGGTCCGATTGGGTCCGCTCCTAATAGGTTAACTCGACTCACATAGAATTTTGAATTCAAAAAGGAAGTTACAACTTCCATTACCTATCCTAATATTTGCTTATATATATGCACCATGTTAGTACAAAGTAAAAGAGATTGGAAGAAGAAGAAAAGTCTCTCTCTATCTCTCTCTAAAATTCTCTAGTCTCTAAAGAACACATCAAAAGCATTTTAATTTGTGATTCAGAAGATCTGGTCTATTGTGATTTTATCTTGACAAAAACAAGTGATTGTAGAAGAGAATAGATCTTGAAATCCTTGTGAATTATCCAAAATAAGTTAATTTTGAATCATGTTTTAGTTTTAAAAATCAACAGGTTGTAATTTAGATTGGAAAAATATATAAGAATGAGTAAGAAATCTTATTTGATTAGGCAAATAGGCAATAGAATATGTCTATGGAGATTGATATGTAAGTCAATATAATTAAGAATTAAAAAAAAAAGGCTTAGGTCCAACTAACCAAAGAGGAAAGTGTCTAAGCTTCCATTTGCCATGTGTTCGTAAATCAACAACCTTTCTTCCCTATGAATGCAGCAACCCCAGAGCCTAACAAGGTTCCTGTGCCAGAACTTGGAGATCAGTATGATTTCATTCTTGAACTCTTTGGTTCCTTGTCCAGAATGGCTAGAAAGCCTTTTCACCGCTGCTTCTTTCCCGTCTTCCAGCTTTCCCTGCAATCCAAAATTTATTTGATTGTTCATTTTTTTAATAATTGATATATACAAGTCTCACCAGTGCATATACAAGTTAGCATCATATCGTCTAAGAGAATGATTTTATTACCTTATAAACCGGACCAAACCTGCCTTCCCCTAGTTTATTTGTTCTGTTGAAATTATTTGTAGCAACTAATATTTCATCAAAGTCAAATATTGGTAGCTCCGGTGACTCTCCTTGGGTTACACAACCCAACCGTAGAATTTCTTGTGAGTTGTCCATTGGATCAGCCAAAACAGTGTTCTTTCGTATGGCTCTTCTATTTCCTAATGTTTGTGACACATTGAAGAGAAATAATTTATTAGATTTCTTGTATATGGTGGCAAGATCACATGATTTAGGGATGTTAACATAACTGATTTTGGGGCTACAATATGTAGTGAGAAATGATGAGAACTACACTCTGAAGGAAGAGAACTGGGCTTGGCTAATTTAGTTGGGAATAAAAAATTAGATCCTATTCAACAAATGTAAAAATATTTCAAATTCCAGGAAAAGGAAAGAGCCAACAAGAAGAAAAAGAAGGGGAACAGGAAAATAACAGAAGGAGGTGAAAAACACTGGTTTGTTGAAAAAATGAAATAGTAAAATGAATCCAAAAGATCAGAGAGAGGGAATTGCCCTCGCCTATGAACCTATGAATGCGTTATTCAGTAACAAAAAAAAAAAATCTTGAGTTACCTCTTTGGTTTCTTGTCCTTTTATGCCAACAAAACAGGACAAAACCCAACAGAATCAACCCAGAAATTCCTAAAAAGCTGATGATAAGTTCATGCTTTGTCTTGTCATCACCTGGAGAATTGAAACGAAGAGCAAGAAAACGTGAAGCAACTAAAGCGTTGCTCAACCTCAAAAGACAACAAATCACAGCCAACGTACCTAGCTCTGAATATGCAAGCCGGAGGAAGAAGACTTCCCCATCAAATGAAAACTGCTGAACATCCATAAGGTCTCCCACCCAATTCCATCTGCATATGCATATCCCACACAAGAACAATTATTCATACACCATTGTAGGCAACCTGAAGGATCCTCTGTGTATAAATATTCAAAATGAACTGGAGCTTCATCCCATTCAGCTCCTTAAACCCATCATTTTTAGCTTTTCCTAAGCCCGTGCTGCTTATGTTTCTTTGGCATAGCAATTCAGTTCGCCTCACACACCCTGCTGTCCAATTTCCACTGTTCCAATCTTCAGTTGACTTGGGGATAAATCCTTTCAAGCACTCACAAATCGGAGAACTTTTCTCATTGCAAACGCTGAAAGGTCCACAAACTCCATATATGGCACATGGATTCCCTGGTGTCACCCAAATGACATCCCAGTTACTTGTTTCTTTAATCCAGTTCAGTACCTTCAAAGATCCTACTGGCGTTAAGACCATAATTACCACGTTGCCATTATATGTGTCTAGTGTGAGATATGCACTTCCCTGCTGATTATCAGATTGGACGTTGAATCCATTCGCATACCTGCCTTCACTATCTGGTATACCTATGAACCTCCATTGATTCCATGGTCCACCTCTCATGTAGGGCTTGGAACCATTCCAAATAAAAGCTTGTGGTGGCGTATCCAGGGAAAGCCCAGCCACAAAATTTCCAGGCGAAGGATTGTCATCGGCCTGCCAACAAGAAAGTAAGCGTTTATCTCCTGTTTTCATGTTCCATCCCAACATCATGCCTGGAAAGAAAGTGTTATTGGGATAATTGAAGCTTTCCCATAAAGTTAATCCAGAAATATTATCCTTGAGAATGAAGTTTCCTTTATCTGAAAGCATTGCAGTCAAGCTATTTGACTTGACAGAAACATTGGTCGACCAGACTATGTTTCCATTTCCATCCAACAATACCAAATTTCCATCTTCACCAATTGTTAGACTTGCTCTAGTGTCTAAAGCTAGAAGAGGATGCTCTTTGCTCAGCACCCAGACAACTTTACGGATAGATATATTCCTGTACCATAGCCCAACATACTGCTTACTAGAATTACCAGGACTGAAGAAGCCTAGCTCAAAGATTTGACCAGATGCGAGGAGAGTTTGCTCTGTTGATAAGTGCTGTAACCAAGTTAAGGTATCGATTGCAAAGCAATATCCTGATGGAATTGTCAATAGAAAAAGAAGAAATGGATAAGAAAGAAAAGCACCAGGAACTCTATATGGGTTATTCATCCACCTTGGGCAGCAGGCTCTGCAGCCTTGTTAATGTACTTAAGGTCATTTCACCTTGAAATTATAAGGCCTTCTAATATTTATTGTTCTGAGCCTCTACCCTCCAAGGTCAACCATTTTGCCTTCCTGTTTTATGATAATATATTGTAAATGAACTGTTATAATCAAGTGTATAGTTTAATGTTATAAGTGGTGCTGCAATGATGTTTGTTGAATTTCCTTTATTATATTCATATGTTCATTTTAGTAAATTGAAATCTCACTTAATAATTCAAATTTCAGCAGAATATTCAAAGAGAATGAAATGAGAATGGAACGAAATTGAAGGAAATTCCAAATTTCCTTTGTGTCCAAAGCATTCCCAAAGTCAAGAAAGGCAACAAAGAAAGTGTACTTGACAATTAAGAAGATTGAGAGTTGTATTAATTGCAACATCTTCAGTTCTCTCAAAGGTGTCAGAACCAGGCAAGTCCAATTATTTAAATTGCAAAAGGTCAACAATAGGCATGCATTTATAAAAATATTTTCTGTCTGAGATCTCCATCTCAATCTTCTTTCTTACAGTTAGGTCTTTTCTATATATTTTCATTCCATTAAAGAATAAGTCACGCTTATCATAATATCAAGCAATTTTGCTGCCTTGCGAGCGCTTTAGATCAATTCCTCCCAACAAAAGGATCACCCACTCTCAGTGGTACATCTATTTGCTTTTCTTCACTCTCGTGAGGATAAAGTTCAATATACAAATCCATTATTCCATTCAACAATATTGCTTGAAGGCAGATTTTTCTAATTCTATGAAGCCTAATGACATGCCTCATCTAGTAAATGTATTGGTGTCATGTTGGAAAGATCAGATTCTACTTGTTAATTTATTATACTTGTCTTTTCCTTGAATTAAAATTTTACATCACAATTGCACGTCGCTATCATCTTAGGCCATGAATTTAAGCTAATTAAATCATGAATAGTAAAGGAGGGAAATGTTTGAAGTTCAATGAAGATCGAGTCTCCAAAATGCTGAAGTATTATGACACTAAGAAAATGGACACCTGCAATGTTATAATGTTTTAAACATGTATATTAGAGACTGGGTGACAATTAAAACATAGATTTGTCATAGTCAACTCTAAAATCAAACAGGTATGATCAAAGCAAGTAAAATTAATTGAATTTTCAAAGCTTTAAACATTATAAAAAGATGGGTGGTTTGAAAATCCCATCTCAATTTCTTATTCTTGTAATTTGATGCGACTTCTTCTTTGACTTCAGCAAGGAAAGAAGTCCTTAAATGCCAAGCCATTGAAGCTGCATTAAAATACTCATGCTGCATCTAGTAATTTTTACCATTTTTCAGATTAATTATATGTAAGAGCCAAAATGGTTTGTTTGATACTAATTTAGGGAATTTCAATGAAGGACCTCTGGCAGAAAAGAAATATATATTTAAAATTTGAAACCTAATAAAAAATACTTTCAAATAAAGGATCCATTTTCAAATTGTTGTTTCTCTTTTTTAAATGATTATATTTCTTGCAAATTGTGTTCAGTCAGTGTTTAACAGAAAAAAAAAATCAAAACTAAATTATATAAAAAGCGAATTTTGAGGTCAAATTAAGGTTTCAGTTGAAAAAGGACTTATATCAACTTTTAACCATAGATTTATGTAACAACTTCCTAACGAAAAAGTACCCTGAGTTAATGGACTAATCACCCTTGTTTATAATATATATAATACAGGCTTAAGAAATAATGTCTCTACAACAGTTGCTGAAGGGCATTGACCTAATATAGAACCATATGCATTCTGCCCTTCGGCAACTGTTGTAGAGACATTATTTCTTAAGCCTGTATTGCTGCTCCAAGACTTTATATCAGACTCGAGCAAGGCCTAAAGTGAGAAGGTTATTCTTCTGGTTGCAAATAGTTCTGCCCCTTATGTGTTGATAAATTTATTCATGTCTTAGTTGCCTTCTTTACTTTTAACTTATTTTTACATTATTTACAGCAGTAGGAGTTGTAATCAGTTTCTGATGCATTTTCTAAGTTGCTTTTCTTGTAGAACTTTTCATTTATTTGGCTCAATGTGGAAATACAACATATATTGGGATATTATACGGAGCATTCCTAGTTGGTTAGTTTGTTCGAGGGGAACTAGTCACTAGAACATATTTTTATGGAAATGGGCTGATATGGGTAGTCAATACAATATCATGTACAAGCAAGTGGAACTTATATCTGGCATTCATTATTTTGTTGGTCGTACTCTTAGTTTCATCAAAAGAAAGTTGCTTAAATCAAACTAACTGAAAAGAAAAGTGTCCAAGCTTCAGTTAATCATGTACTTGTAGATTGATACCTTATTGTCACCGTTAATGTTGCAACCAAAGAGCCCAACAGGATTCCTGCTCTCATGCTTAGAGAGCACTATAATTTCATTCTAGAGCTACTCAGTGCCTTGTACTGAATGACTAGAAAACCTTTTCACTGCTACTTCTTGCCCGTCTCCCAGCTTTCCTATATCCCAGAGTTTTTAAACAATTGGTCAGTACTAGTATCATCTGTGCTTACACGTGTTTAAATCATATAGTTTAAGGAAATAATTTGATTACCTTGTTCACCGAGTCAAATCCTTCTTCCCCTAATTCATATGTTCTGGTACAGTTATTATTGATAGCTCTGATGAGTTCCCATGTATTTCATGGCTTTGTCATTCATTTTCTTGTGATGTGTCCATTGAATTAGCCAAAAAAGTGTGCTGTAGTTTATGTCTTCTTGCAGCTGATGTTTAATATTGATCAGTAAAACTAAAAATTTATAAATTTACCCATTTTAGTTGCTAAAGCATTATTGAACACAAAAGACTGACGGTCATTATCTGAAAGATTAGTTCTCTTACCTCTTTGGTTTGCTATCCTCGTCTACAAACCCTACAAAAGACACCCAAGAGGATAACCCAAGACCCTGTTGTAAAGCCGATTATGAGTGTTTCCTTTGTCATGTCTTCACCTGGAAATAAAGAATACGACAAATAAAACATAAAAGAACCATTAACTCACCCATACCCTGGACAACAAGGTATAGTTAACCATACCTAGATCTGATTATATGAGCTGAAGGAAGAAGTGCTTCCCATTAATTGGTAACTGCTGAACTTCACTAAAGACTCCTGCCTCAACCGTACAATTGATCCCATTGGATATGCAGATGCGAAACAAGAACAGTTACTCAAGCACCTTTTGTTGGCAACCTGAGGAATCCCCATTGAATATATATTTAAAATAATCTGGCAGCTTCATCCCACTTAGCTTCTTAAATCTGTCGCTTTTAGCTCCTGAACCAGAGCTGCTAGCTTTCTTTTATCGTTGCATCTGAGTTCTTCTTATAAGCCACCTTTCCAATTGTATTTGGAACGAATCCTTTGGCCACCTACAAATAGTGGACTTCTTGTTGCAGACACCAAAAGTTCTACAAGTTTTATGTACATCACATTGATTCTCAATTGCAAGCCAAATACCAGTTGCTTGAGCCTTCAAACCAGTTCAATAAGCGCAAAGTTCCTATTGGTACCAACTCCAAAATTCCATCAAAAGAGTTGTACAAATCTACCGTGCAATATGCCTCTTAACCTCAAGGTTTCATATTTATTTTGATATTGACAAAACAAATTAAAATTATTATATATATTTATATAATGAATAATATGGGCAATTTATAATATTAATTTTATTATTTAACTATATATATTACATGTACTAGATTGTGAAGTTGTCCAATTAGACAAGTGTGTAGTAAATTAATTATATCTTATTATAGAAAAGTCAAAAAATTATAAAATCAATTTTATATGAAATTAAACTCAAATATCTTTATTTTAATATATAATTCATCATGTATATTATTTTGTATTAAAGCAGTTTATTATATCAATCTCATATATTATTTTCTGAAAAAGTCATTCTTGAAATCTGCACGATATTTGTTTTAATTAGTAAAATATAATTTATAATATAAATAAAATTCTGAATTAATTTTATTTGTAAAGTAGACGTGCTAAGCTTTAAATGCATATATAATATGCACGTTTTGCACTTATAGATTGATAGATATAATATTTCAAAGTGAGCCATTCTACATAGTTACACTATCAACAGACAAAATGAGTATATTACAGTGTTTTTATCATATCTCAAAATATAAAAGTCAAATTTGCACGAATCCAATTTTGAATAAAAGAGACATTATAAGATTTTCAACAATATATAATTTGTTATTTTTGAATACAAATTTGAATTTCTACACAATTTTGAACTTGGCCAACAACTTTTGACAAAAGCAATTTTATAGTCTGACATGTTGATGATCTTTTGGTCATTTCTCTCAAACGGCGCACTATAATTAAATGATTCTTTTTGCATTGAAAACAAACTCATTGAGGAGTATTCAAGAATTTTTTAAGATGTTTTGAACATTCGGAGCCATTTTATTTGAATTTTTGAAACGAACCAATGTGCAGTTACTGTTGACAAATGATTTTGTCTTCCATAAAGGCCAACGTCTTCTTGGTGTTTTTACCTATAAAAGGAGCATAGAGTGAAGGGAGAAATACACAACAACAAGCTTTAAAGCCTCCTCAATCTCTCTCTCTAATTCTTTGTACTATATTGTGTATTATTAGATCAAAGAGTGCATAGAGCAAATTGTTTTATTCTTGAGAGTGCCTCTTTGAAGTGAGATCATTTTTGTACATGAGTGGTAGCTAATCCTACTTAAGAGGAATTGCTACATTTCTACTTCATCTTCATTACCACTTGTATTGGTGTTTAAAACTCATCGAATCAAAGACTTTGTAATCGGGATTTCTTGCTCCGCCAAGTGTAAAGAATTTTGTTTGTACTCGAGATTTCTTGCCTCCATCAAGTGCAAGAGACTCAGTAGAATCTCTGCTGGTTGGAGCTTGAGGAGTGGACGTAGACTTGGGTAGCAAGTCGAACCACTAT